CTGAAGTGAAGGGGTTTCAAACGTTCTAAGAGGTGGGGGACAAGTCTTGGTCAATGAGAGACAAAAATGAGGGGACAACCTTCACCCCATGCACTTTGGACTTTGTTCTTGTCTTGGCATTGTCTTGCAAGACTTTGTGTGGTCCAAGCTCGGTTTTTGGTAGGGTTTAAAGTATATTTTCAGAGCACAAATGTTTAAGAGCATGTCTTGTATTGGTGAATGCAAGAGGGGACATTGTAGTAACCAATGACAATATTTTATTAACTTGTCTCCCCACTAACTTTGGTCTTGAGTTTGAATGGTTTTGACCTTGACTTGACCAGGGTCAATTGGACCCAAAATGTCCCTTAATAAGCTGACTTTAATCCCTCAAATTTGGGCTCGAGACAAGTGGGCCGAAAAATAGGGTTTTGGGCCGTGGAAGCTGGACCTGTCGCTGCTGGGCGCTGGCTGGCGCTGGGCCTCGGGCGCGGGCTTCTGCTGGCTGCGGGGAATGGTGCGGACGGCTGTTGGGAATGGTGCGGTCGCTGGGCTGCTCCTTGGCTGGCCTGCTGGCTTGGTTGGCACGGGAATGGATGGGCTGAGGACCTTGGTCGGTTTGCAAGGTTCAAAAGCCACTTCCAACACTTAGAAAAATTACCCAACACTTAGAAAATATTTCCTACACTTAGGCATGGCGTGGGTATGACTTTGGGTCTCGGTAGGGGTTAAGCTCGGTGCACCCGGCTCGTGTGAAAGGCTCGACTTATGTACTTGAATTTTTGGCTTGGACTTGCACTTCTCCACACTTAGAAAAATTCTAAGTGTGATACTATCAATGTTGATCTATTCTTAAGGCTCGATAACTAGTGTTCGGAATGAACGAATCATTAGAATAAACCCGAATAATTAAATTGGACTTATTATTGTTGAGCACTTAACATATACTTAAATAAATCTTGACTTATACTTCTTAATACTTAGGAAAATTATTCCATGTATTACATAGCTAAGGTTCGGCCATATCTAACTCGGTAAATAGGGTTCGGCACAAACGAAATATTTCAGATAAAATTCTCGAATACTTAATACGAACTTAATTCGAATAAAAATATTCGAATACTTAAAATGAACTTACTATATTTTTTGAGCACTTAGCATATTTCTTTAATAAATAAATCTTGAACTTCTTAATTTATGAATTTTCACTTAAAAATCGAGCAGTGAAAAATCATCTTAATAATATAATAATAGTCGGGGCGTTACAGCCACCTTATAAATCTAATGGGCTACTCCTCCTTCACCAATTGGTTTTGGGATGGAACCCCATTTGGGCTTCATATTTGTTTTTCCCCGTTCATGGTGCGCTTCATGATAGTGGACTTGCACCTCGTCGTGAACATACAGCATTGCGTTCACACTAGGGACGGTACCGTAATTAATCAATTCAAGTATGAACGCAACGCTGTATGTTCAGGACCTCAATTTGATTGCTCAATGGTACTCATATTTGAGTTTTATGCTATTTTCTGAGTTATCGTTGGAATTNATTGCAATTATCAAAAAAAGTGGTGATTTTATTTGGAATTGAACTATGACTTGCTGGCAAATTGAGCAAGACAATATGTAAACAACTCTTGGGCGATTTGATAACTCATTTGTAGCGAAATGACATATTATTTTTATTTTTCTTTTAAAAAAAGACTATGTCTGCAAAAATGTGACGACGTGTATCTTTAGCAATTAGAATTTTTTTCTTTAGCAATTAGAATCCTTTTTAAATGTGAATGAACCACAAACTAGACCCGGTCCAGTGGATTGACACACTACTCGAAGCTAGGCCCAATTTGCATTGGTCTTTCAGACTAGGAACAAGTCAACCGTTCAAATGGCACGATACTTGAGTTTGTGGTAGCTCTATAACGTTATTAGCATTCATTTGGTAGCTCTAATACTAACTGATGTAGCATAAGCGTACAAAAGGGAAAACAAGAGTTAAAATCTCAAGACAATATTTTTTAATTCATAAACTTCACCAGTTGAAACACAATAGAATAGAAGTCTGTAAATAGAACTCCTAAGAAGTCTTAATCTTGTCTTAACAAGTAAAATATAATTAAATATATTTCCTACCAAATAAAAGATTAGAATAATTAAATAACTTTACTTGCAAATCTAAAAAAAAAAAAAATACTAACAATAAATAAAAAAGAAATAAATAACTAAATTAAAGATCACAAAAATCATGCTTGTCCTCATCTTCATCATGTGGCCTCATAACTTTAGATTGAGTTTGAAGCACCAACACTCGTATTTATCATAGTTTGCACTTGAAGCGGGATTCATATTAAAAAATAATAATAATACAAAAATCTACAAACAAAACAACGACCATACAAATGAGAGTTCAGCGTTATAACTATCTCCAATGTTGCTCAAGTTGAGTACACTGTTATTACTTTAATTTTTGAGTTTTAGTAATCATATAATTAGTGCAGCTGGATTAAGTTGGTGTCCAAACAGGACCTATATTTTCTACGCTACGAAAGGGTAGCCTCGAATGGACAAAAGAAAGATCTTATTCTTTTTTCAACAATTTCTGATCTCTAGTGGACCTCTCAGTAGGATTCTATCCCAGATGAAGTTCTGACCTTCTTGCGGCCATCAGAGTTATTGACATTGCTTTCGATACAAGATGGTTTAATCTTTGGTTGGGTTCGGGAAAAGGAAAAAACTTGAATATTGGGCTTTTTCTTACTCTTATAGGTGACTCGTTGAACATAGATCCAATTTTTCTAACTTTTTTATTCTCTAGTTCCCTTGATTAGCATCTCTCCAGGGTTTAGGTCCTTCGTTTGTTAATATTTATTGAAATCAGTATACAGCAAGGACCGCATAGCGCAGTGGATTAGCGCGTCTGACTTCGGATCAGAAGGTCGTGGGTTCGACTCCCACTGTGGTCGGTAACGTACACTGCTCACGCTATGTAGACCTTTTTTTCAATTTTAAAGGCAGAAAAAAAAAAGAAAAAAAAAAGGAAAATCAAATCGAAGGCAGAAAATAAAGGCAGCCAAATCACAAAACCCTCATTTTTTCACCTCTCCCTCTTCATCATCTCGCTCTCCCAGTCTCCACGGTTTCACCGTCGCCTCCACTGCAACTCCACTGCTGCTCGCAGATTCACTCCGCCGCCACCACTTCTCCACCTCAGCTCTCGCATCTCGTCGTCATTCCGATTCCCCGCTCTTCGACTCCGACACCTCCAAAGTCTCTGTTCCCCTTGGCTCTCGGTACCCTAAATCCCCAGCTCGGCAGCTCCTCGGCTTTCATCTCTAAAGGTATTTTTTTTTTCAAAAAAAAAAATTGGATATGTGTCCAAGTATATCAGACTTTGCTGTGTATTTAGATGAATTTCTATCTTTTGTATTAGTGTTTCTTGTGTGTCCGGTGTCCCAGTGCCTGATGATTACTTGAAAAGAATAGAGATTTGAAGGTTGCTCTTTGTTTAAGCTTGGTTATTAGATTATTATTTCTTGTGTAAATGAAGGCAGGGACCCCTTATAATTATTTTCCAACAATCCTTCAAGATTGTACTTGTCCATTATTTATTTATTTATTCATGTTGAATAGGGGTGTTCACGGTCCGGTTTTAACCGGAAAAATCCGTCAATCCGGACCGCGGATCGGTTAAATGGTCAGTTAAAAAAGCCTTAAAAAATCCGATGGTTAATTTTTTTAAAAATCCAGAATTACCGGTCCGGTTAACGGATTAACTGCGGCAAACCGCCGGTTTAACCGGACCGGACCGGTGTACATTAAAAAATAATAAAAAATATATATACATATATATATATATATAGAGATGGTACAATTAGGCCAACTATGACTGCACAAATTTTGGATAACCGATCGAAATCGACCGAAACCGAATTGCCATTAGTTAACGGGCCGCCCACCACAAAGCACTAAGCAGGCCCAATTTATCACTCCAACAGTCCAATTCCATCGACAAAGCAGATAATGATATTATCCTCCAGGAACAAATCGTCTCTCACGGTCACTCATCGTCTCATCCTCCAGAAAACCCCACCTAGCACTGCACTTCTCCGCCCGTCCGCCGCACGGTGCACAAAATCACCCGCTCCATCTCCCTTTGCTCGGCGTCGGCGCACAAAATCGCCGGAATTTTGAAATCTCACATCGCCTCGCTCGGTCGTTCTTGCTCCCGCACACACTCCACCCCGCAGGCCGTCGTGACACTCGTCTTCTCAATTGAGTTCGCCACCCAAATCCCCTCGTAAGGGCTGCAACTCAGATTCGTAATTTTCTTTTCTGGCTTTGAATCTCTCATTCTTCTTTGGGCCTGTGAGTCGTGATTCATTGTACGGGTTGCACCCACCCAATTTGAGCTCATATTTTTTTGGGTTAATTTTTATGCCTATGATTTGAGCTGTACGGTTGTGGCTTGTGGGTTTCCAAATTGTTGTGACATACTGACATGTTGAACCAATCTGCTTCTGTGACCTACTGTAATACTAATAAAAAACTTGAATTTTTTGATGGGCTTGCTCTTGAATTGAATAGGATTCTGAATTTCAGATGATTTCTGAGAGTTGTGCATTTATTGAATACTGATTTATTGGAGACAATCGTTTGAGGAAAAAAAAAAATTGGTATTGAATTTCCCGATTTTCCATTGACCATTGATTATTGGATTTAACCGGTTAACCATCAAACCGGACCGTCCAATGCGGTCCGGATTATGGTCGGTTAAAAAATAAAACCGGTCCGGTTATGGACAAGAAAAAAAATTAACCGTTAGGTCCGGTTTGGTACGGTTTTGGGTAAAACTGGACCAATCCGGACCGTGAACACCCCTAATGTTGAACACAAATCAAGTTTGAGTAGTCTTGTTTCGACTTGTGCATTGAATTTAATCAAATATGAAAATATGTTCAATTTTGTTTTGAGTAGTCTAAGAACTTTTTTTTTTTTAAATATGAAAATTGAATTAAACTAAATTGATAGTTTGTTTATCATTAAGGCTAAGAAAATGGGATTAGAGATTCTAAACATAACTGAAGAGATTATGAGATTACTATTGTGATACAAATGAATAAACTTTATGTTAATGATTAGGACTTTGGGTTGTTTATATGAATTAATATTTGAATATTATTATGTTTTAAATGTCCAAGTTAGTTTATGACCATTTCAATTATTTATTTGCTTGTATGATGATATATATTATTATTTTTGGCATTAAAAGAGAATTGCTCGAATAACTTACGCAACACGCTACGCCATTTACGCTACACAGTATAGAAACTAAAACGCGACGCAATACGCTATACGCGTTTTAAAACACTGGAATTGAGAATAGCACTCACTCTTTGCGACTTGTGAAGTGAAAGCAAAATCTCGAGCTGACGGAGCAACTCTGCCCCCGTGCTGGTAATGCTGCTAAACTTTTCTGCTCGCAATCGACTAGGGTTTCTTCACTATGTTGATTCCTTAGCTCTCTCTCTCTCTCTCTCGATTGAGCAGGTTGGTAGTAAATTAGGTAAAATTAATTTGGCATTGGACAGCAATGGCTTCAGCCGGAAAACCAGCTTCTTCTTCTTTAAAGAGAACATGTTCAACTACAAGTGAAGGCGACGAGCTTATTATAACGCCTCTAGGGGCGGGAAATGAAGTGGGCCGCTCGTGTGTTTACATGTCCTATAAGGGGAAAACTCTGTTGGTATGTTTTGCTGCTCGAATTTCTGTTCATTTGCAGTCTTTTTTTTAGGCGACTTTCATGCAATTTGGATTCTCGAATTATGAACTGAATCTTTTGTTTGTTTGTTTACTTGTTTAGTTTGATTGCGGTATTCATCCAGCTTTCTCAGGAATGGCCGCATTGCCCTACTTTGACGAAATTGATCCTTCAGCTATAGATCTACTTCTTGTTACTCAGTATGTTTCCATTATTAATCCTTCTTTTTTATTTGCCTATTGTTCTTGTTTGAATTGGGGATTGTGTTGTTTCTCTTATGTGTTTCCTGGAAGTTTTCGTGTAAAGAGGGTTTTGTTGTTTGCTTTGGTGCTGGACCCTGATTTCTTGGATAAGTTCATGTAGCTTTGACTGTTTAGATCAATGTTCTAATCGATTCTAAAAAGGGCATGGAGGGTTAAGCCGGTTCAGTTTGTGGATTAATCGGCATATTTTGTAAAGTGAGCGAGGTATTTTATAATAACACACTTAAAAAAGTGTAATGTATTGAAAATTGCCACCAATACAATTTTCTGTCACAATAATCCATATTAATGACGCTATAAAAAACGCGTCATGCATTGTGATTTACGACGCTAAAATTTTATAATAACCTACTGAAGTCAAGCATTTGCATCTGCTTGATAATTATTAAGTAGTCTTCGATTCTGGGAATCTGGTAGTATATTTTATTATTTAGGTTTCTATTTTTTGTTTCAAATTACTCAAGTGTGCTTTTACCTGTGCAGCTTTCACTTGGATCATGCTGCTTCTCTTCCATATTTTCTGGAGAAGGTTGCAATTTGACATGACATTATAATATGGTATAATTTGCAGGTCCTCTGCATTGATAGGCTAATATTCTCCTTTATGTGTTCCAGACGACATTCAGGGGACGAGTTTTTATGACTCATGCAACTAAAGCCATTTACAAGTTGCTTCTATCAGATTATGTCAAAGTTAGCAAGGTCTCAGTTGAGGATATGCTATATGATGAACAAGACATACTTCGCTCCATGGAAAGAATTGAGGTATTATTTGGTTAATTTCAAAATTTTGATAGTTCTCTGTATTTGGTATGTAAATTTAAAGTTCTGACCTGTTTTCAGTTTATTTGTGAATCCACTTGTATGGAAGTCCGTCGTAGGTGTCCAAGAAATAACTCTATGATTGTTTTGATTATTTTGGCTCTTCATGGCTGATTATATGTTAGCTGATTCTCTGCTCTTACCTATTGTATTTCATGCTTATGAAAAAAAAAGGGGGGGGATTGTCTAGCCCATGAGAAATAATTTTAATACATGTAATTATAATGATTTGTTCTTGACCTCTCAGTTATGCAACACCATTATATAGATGTAATTAGTTAAATCTAGCATAGAGTATGTGGATGTTATGCCTGAGCTGCGATGCTGCAACGCTCATGAGTATGACATTGTTTCTGCATTCACTGTTATAAACCTAATTATGATAAGGTAAGTGGGTAGAATTTGCATTTTGTTAATGATGAATGATCTCTCGTTGTCTCTTACTTCTTACTGCTATTATTTCATTCTTTGGCTGCAAAGAGCTGAATTAGGGTGAACAAAAATAATGAATCTGTCTGTTGCAGAGAAGTGCATTCTTCAATTTTGTTTGACTTACATAGTTGAATGCCCAAACTATATAAAAATCTGTAAACTATGAATGGTTTCATATGATGGAGATAACTTTTTGAAATTCTTTTTTCCCCAGGTGATTGATTATTTTGGTCCTTTATTTCTGATTATACGATTCTCTGCCCTTACCTTTGTATTTCATGCTCAAGAAAAAATAAAAAAAGGATTGTCTAGCCCATGAGAAATGAATCTTCATACATGTAATTATAGTGATTTGTTCTTGACCTCTCAGTTATGCAACACCATTATATAGATGTATTTAATTAAATCGAGCATAGAGTACGTGGATGTTATGCCTACAACGCCCATGAGTATGAGGATTGTTTCTGCCTTCACTGTTATAAACCTAATTATGAGCAGGTAAGTGGGTAGAATTTGTATTTGGTTAGTGATCCCTCGTTGTCTCTTTCTTCTTACTGCTGTTGTTCCATTCTTCGGCTGCAAAGAGCTGAATTAGGGTGAGCAAAAATAAAGAATCTGTCTGTTGCAATTTTGTTTGACTTATATAGTTGAATGCCCAAACTATATAAAAAATCTGTAGCATGAAGTCAACTATGAATGGTTTCATATGATGGAACTTTTTGAAATCCCTTTTCCCAGGTGATTGACTTCCACCAAACGGTTGAGGTGGACGGGGTACGCTTCTGGTGCTACACTGCCGGCCACGTCCTCGGCGCAGCCATGTTCATGGTGGACATCGCAGGCGTGCGCGTCCTCTACACTGGCGACTACTCGCGCGAGGAGGACCGCCACCTGCGCGCGGCCGAGCTCCCCCCTTTCTCCCCCGACATCTGCATCATCGAGTCCACGTACGGCGTCCAGAACCACCAGCCCCGCCACGTGCGCGAGAAGCTCTTCACGGACGTCGTCCACTCCACCGTCTCCAACGGCGGCCGCGTCCTCATCCCCGCCTTCGCCCTCGGCCGCGCCCAGGAGCTCCTCCTCATCCTCGACGAGTACTGGTCCGCCCACCCCGACCTCCACAACGTCCCCATCTACTACGCCTCCCCCCTCGCCAAGCGCTGCATGTCCGTCTACCAGACCTACATCAACTCCATGAACGACCGCATCCGCTCCCAGTTCGCCTCCTCCAACCCCTTCGACTTCCGCCACATCTCCCCCCTCAAATCCCTCGACGAGTTCCGCGACGTTGGCCCCGCCGTCGTCATGGCCTCCCCCGGCGGCCTCCAGAGCGGCCTCTCCCGCCAGCTCTTCGACCGCTGGTGCTCCGACCGTCGCAACGCGTGCGTCATCCCGGGGTACGTCGTCGAGGGCACCCCGGCCAAGGCCATCATCAGCGAGCCAAAGGAGGTGACCCTCGCGAGCGGGCTAACCGCGCCTCTCCACATGCGCGTCCACTACATTTCGTTCTCCGCGCACGCGGACTACTCGCAGACGAGCGCTTTTCTAAAAGAGCTCGCGCCGCCGAACGTCATCCTCGTCCACGGGGAGGCGAACGAGATGGGCCGGCTCAAGCAGAAGCTATCGTCGGCAGTTTTCGCCGACGGGAACACGCGGATCATCACCCCGAAGAACTGTCAGTCGGTCGAGATGCGGTTCAACTCTCAGAAGACGGCGAAAGCGATCGGGAGGATGGCGGGGAGGGGCGCGCCGGGTTTGGGGGAGGCCGTGAGCGGGCTTCTCGTGAAGAAGGGTTTTACGTACCAAATCATGGCGCATGAGGATTTGCACGTTTTTTCGAGGCTCTCGACGGGGAGCGTCGTGCAGAGGATCACGATCCCGTATTCGGGGGCGTTTTCGGTGATCGAGCACCGGCTGAGGCAGATTTACGAGGGGGTGGAGGAGGCGGAGGTGAGTGACGATGGGGTTCGAGGGGTGAGGGTGCACGGGAGGGTTACGGTGAGGCGGGAGTCGGAGGATCATATCTCCCTGCATTGGGCGGCGGACCCCATCAGCGACATGGTGTCGGATTCGGTGGTGGCGCTCGTGCTGAATGCGGGTCGGGAGCTGCCGAAGGTGGTGGACGAGTCTGAGAGGGGAGAAGAGGAGGCGGCGAAGAAGGTGGATAAGATTGTTCATGCGCTGCTCGTGTCGTTGTTTGGGGATGTGAAGTATGAGGATGGGGGGAAGGTGTTGATTAATGTGGATGGGAACGTGGCGCGTCTGGATAAGGGGAGTGGGGAAGTCGAGAGTGAGAACGAGGGGCTTAAGGAAAGGGTTCGGACGGCGTTTAGGAGGATTACGAGTGCCGTGAAGCCGATACCTCTTCACGGATCTTAATGCAGTACATTGTAAGCCAGATTTTAATGAAGAGTTTGCATTGTTGAAGTTGCTGTTGTGCATCGTGAGGCAAATAGGAGGGGAGAAATTTGAATTACGGCTTTGGACTCGTTTTTTGTTGCAATGGTAGATTTGTGTTTGGTGCTCTGACTATTTTACAGGTTGCGACTTACGAGTTATTTTGCATGTCTAGCTCATCTTTTTCTTGGAGGAGTTGTTAGCACGACGATTTGTGTACTGAAATAGTTGATGTGTTCATTGGAAAATATGAGTTGTTAAAAACTAATTTGGCATGGAGACATGGAGTTTTTAATCCATTTGTTTTCTGTTTTCGATTTATATTTCAGGTTTTTTTTTTCTTTATTTTTTTATCAAATCGACAGCATGCTCATAAGATAAAAGCCAAAGATACAATGTCTGAATACATAACAATGTTCCAATAAACCGCATGAAATGGGAGACCTCACAGGCGAGGTCTAAATCAAATACAAAGCAGAGGCAACAAGAAGCTGAAATCCTATGCTAAATAATCCAACAGTCTACAATTTAAGGATGATAAAGAACTGTCCAAGACCTAGTTTATCACCCCCAAATTCACCCAGCTAGATAGAAAGAAATTCTTGCCATTCCCTTATTGCTTGTCTGACAAGGCCAAGCTCAGGGAGGCTTTTTTCTGAAAAACCCAAAGGTTGCGGGATTTCCACAACCACCACAGCAGATAGGTAGAAAGTTGAATTCGGTTTTCATCAATCACTTTGGTATGCACTGAACACATGGATCCCCACCATTCTTTAAAAGAAGCTGTAGGCCAAGAAAAACAATCTCAACTTAAAGGAGCGAATTGAATATATAAGAATAGCGGAGAAAGTNTTTTGTTAAAAAATGTCTCCTCTATAAAAGTGAGATGAAAAATTGGAAAATTTTATTTCAAGAATAAAGCAAGATAAATTTGAAATTACAAATAAACATGAAATATTGAAAAAAAATATTTTGTGGAAAAAGTGAGATAAATTTGATATTATAAATAAATATGAGATAAAATGTAATAATATTTTATATATAGTAATAACCTTTTTGATTATTAATTCTTCTAGCTAGATTTATAAAAGGAAAAACAATATCAAAATAAATAGTATTTTTATGACAAATATATTTCATTTTTAACTCAATAAAATAAATTATTGGTTCAACTTCAACAAAGAAAAACAATTTTTTTTAACCGAATAACGAGGTGCAGAAAGGTAATTTCAGCCCCCCAAGTTCACACCAAAGTTCACACCACACACCCACACACACACACACACACGCACGCACACTTGTGGAGCTTTATTCACGAACGAAATCACCCTACCTTCTCCACACCTATTGGCCCACCTCCACCACCACAACCAAGGACGCCGCCGCCGTCTCCATGTGTTCATGTAAAATGCGTGTTTCCTCCACTATTATTTACTCCTTCATACCGTCGTGAACGCATTCCCATCTTCAATTCACCTTTTAAACCCTCTCTGATTCGTTGAATACACCACAGACCTCATGTTTTTCCCCCTCAGGTGGAAAATTGTAGCTCTCTGTCCACAAATAGTTATTTATTTATTTATTTAGGAAAAAGGTGAAAGGTCAAATTTTGGATGGTAAGCTGACTTCTGATCATGGAATTGGATATATGTACAGTTTGTCTTGATTCATCGTTATAACTCCCCGTGTGGTGATTACTTGTTTGGCTTTTGTTGCTTGTGGTTTGGTATAATTCTTTAACTTTCAAGCTATTGAAAGTGGATGGAAAATCGTGGGTTTCTAGATTTTTCTTCATTAATTGCGCTGAAGTTGGGAAGATTGATGCCCCTTCATCTCTTTGTTTCAGTTGGACCCCTATGTGCTGAAATTAGGAAAGATTTTCGAAGTAATTAAAGTGATTAGAGCTACTTCTAGTTTGGTTTATTCTGTGTTACCATTGATGGGATTCTAGCATCTTAAAAACGCAACTGAAACCTAAAACTCTACAATTATGTTTCAAGTCCTTAAATAAACCGAAATTGCCTTATGCTATCCATTAAAAATCGACTTGTTTTCCTATACAGTGCACTGCCACTGCTTTAATCCACACATGCACCACAAAACAAACCGCAACCTTCAAAATGAACTTTCAAGGGGACAACCTGTCGTATTCTTGATAATTGTTACTCCTTTGATAAAGATTTCTTAACTATAGCTCGGTAATTATGTCTTTCCCTTTTTCCAGTGTTCATCAGTTAATGAAAAGGGTATGGCGTATTACAATGCCGTGCCTCAACTTTTGCACGACCAGTGGCCCATCAAGAAAGCCCTCACATTCTCCGACATCGATATCACCCACCCATTCCTCACATTGTCCAGACAGCAAGTCGAGGCCCATATCGTGGTCCACATGACACCTCAGCAGCAGGACCACCTAAGAGCCGAGGGCCAGGTCAGCTTCAATGCCCATGACTATGACGCGAACGAAATCTCCTCCATGAAGCTCAAATGGCGCGGAAGCTACTACAGCCTCATTGGCAAGTGGGGCAAAGTCGTCCGCACGAAAAGACTCGAAGTCGGGCAGGAAATTAAACTCCGGTGGCTCGACAGCTGTCTCCACTTCTCCGTCCCACAGCAGCACATTGTCACGGTGGTACCGCCTGTAAGAATGGTGGCGTCTCCTCTAGTGCACGACAGCTGGCCGATCAGAAAGACGCTGACATCATCCGATGTCGACAACTGGCCCATCAAGAAAGCGCTGACGCTTTCTGATGTGGACACGAACCACCCGTTTTTGACATTGCCCGGGAAAGGAGTGGAGGACCATATTTTGGTTTACTGGGCCCACCAGGCTCGGGAGCAGCTGAGGAACGATCAACAGGTGAGTGTGAACGCGCGGGATTATGACACGGGGGATTTGTATGTGATGAAGCTGAAGTGGCGTGGGAGTTATTATAATCTGATTGGTAAATGGGGGAAGATTATTAGGGAGAAGAGGCTGCGTGTTGGGAGGGAGATTAGGGTCAGGTGGGAGAATGGGTGCGTGGTGTTTTCGGTGCCTCAATGATAAGAGTTCGTGATGTGTAGATATAGGTAAGAAACTTCTTTTATCCGTATAAGTATATGGTTCTGTTTTGTGATTATGGGATCGTGGGATGGTGAGTTCTGTGTGAGATCCTTTTTTATTTGTCTTTTAATGGTTGGCCTGACAGAACGAACATGACGGATNTGGATGACGAATCGGAGTAGTGTAATAGTTTTACTGTTGCAGGCCATTGTTTTGCGGATTGAAAGAGCAGAAACTTTGAGTTGGTGTTATTGCTGGAGGGATGAAGGATTTCTCCAATTATGTGGTCCATCGCCCAACTTCCAAGGTTCCTATACTCAGTTCTAATATATGTAGTTTGGCTGTACATATATTAGATATTGTATTCAAATTGCTACATCAGATTTGATTAGTGGGTTAGCTGTGGAAAGGTGATATATGAATGCGTTTATACTAATAGTCTGCATTACTCGGAAGTTTCTGTCGTAGCTCATCAACGTTGAAATTATTGCATGTCCGTGTCGAAAACCATTAATAAGGTTCTCGAATTCATGGAGAGCTGCTTACATCTTGGGTTCTAAAATTGCCCAATTTTAATTGCAGCCTAGGATATGTAATTTGGTGATGACATAGGTTATACCTCTTGCTACTGTACTTAAGATATGTGTGTAAATATTTGGCAACTTCTTCTGTGTATTTCGTATCTATTCAGCATAGAAATTATTGGGCACATTGTCGGTGGCAGTCTGCTGTTCTCTTTTTTATTTTTATTTTTTATTTTCATTTCTTAAGAAGTGTTTTATTTTCAAAATCAGCATGTAGCTGAAAGTGAAATAATGTTCAACTGGATATTTACTTTTGTCTCTGCTTAAATGATGAATTTATTTTTGGCTGATCGTTTATGAGCTCTAAAAACATGTTAATATGATAGAAGGAGATCAGAATGTGTTCAAAATAAGTTTCAGACTTTTTTTTTTTTCTCAACTGCTATTCACCGCCCCCCTTTTACTAGTCACCGCCCCCCCCCAATTACTCTTTTGCCCTTAACCTTTTTTTGGATTTCATCTCTCTAAACTTTATCTCTCTAAATTTTCCGAACTTCAACGAACGATTCGAGCATCAAAAAAAATCCGAAAAAATGTCGAAAAAATTCTACGGCCTCGGCAAAGGATTCTTCTCCGACAAGGTATTTTTTTTTTTTTTTTTTTTGAGCCGAACTATTTTTAAAAAATTTTTTGAAAACCTGTTGAACCGTCCGGCCGGCGGTTCCGG